CGCTTATCACAATACAGTTGCAATATTCTTCCTGGTGATGCATGTGCAACAAGTCCGTGGATTTTCATGGAGTTACTGGTCGGCGACTGAGCTTTTACTCTTCCACTGTGTCCTTCTTGCTGGTCTCCTGTCCTTCAAAGATGGGGTACTTGCTCTCCACTTCTGCCCAGCTCAAAGTGCCGTTGGACAAATCCCGAATAATCACAGGCAACTCGCTGACCTGAGGAGAGAAAAAACATGTTTACCTGATTGTGTTAAATTGTGTGTGTAATCATCACAATTGTCAAGCTCCCTATGAACATTATTTTTTAGAAATGGAGAAAAGACATACATGAAGCATTTGCTACCTTCACTGTGACCCCAAATTACTTTAGTTTGTCCTTTAGCTTTACAGTTTTTACACATGCAATTGGAAAAAACAAAACAGACCTTCTTATCTCACATGGTCAACATATTGAGAATGCTTTGTGTTTCCAGGGAAGCAACACTTTAATGAACCCAACAGCTGAGTGAGATGGTTTCTATCAGTATCCGTGGTGATGGATTGTTCCTGCCTAACGGACCTGCCAACCTTGGGAAAATACTTTGAGTACTACAATAGTGCAACACTTAGTTCACATGCTTTCACACCACTTTGCTTTGTACGCAGTAATTTCCCCACTCCCCACCATGTCCTAAAATTATTCAACAGATTAAATCATTTGTACTTACAGTCCACTACATTTTGGAGGAATCATCTTTATGATCTAAAGTTGTAAAATAGCATTATTATCGATTTGATTACTCAAACAGAGCCAGATTGTTAGCTTCATGTTGACAACTTTAAAATGCTGCTTACGCGTACGTGTCAAAACGTAACTCTAAATAGAGATAGTTTTCATAATGAGTATGTAGTACGTGTCAATTTACAGTCTCTTGAAATGACATTACGCTCGTAAATCACGATCTTCCCCGCTTGATATTTGGGTTGGCAGGGGGAATGAATCCAGCGCTAGGATTGGTCAAACTCTTCTTTTGCTTTTGAGCAGGCTAGTCGCTGCAGCCTCTTTCTTTTAGACTTTAGGAGATCTTGTGCACAGCTGAACTCACAAGTTTCACCTTTTTGCGTAGTTTAGAAAGAGAAATCATACCAGCGTACTCCGATGTTTAAAATGTACACCTGCTATACAATATGCGTACAGGTTGGCAGTTCAGATAAAGTCCACTTAACGAGAGCGCTTTCTACACACGCAAACGTGACTTCATGTATAGTGACAGACGACAGTGAAGAGCTACGAAGCAAAAAACTATTGTAAAGTTGAACCTATAAAACAAACAAACAAACAAACAAAGGGAACTGGTGCTGTACCTCTGCCCTGATCTGCCTCATTGAGTCGCGGTCTCTAAGAGTGGCCGTGTGAGGCGTCTTGTTCACTGTGTCGAAGTCGATGGTGATGCCAAACGCCACTCCGATCTCGTCCGTCCTGGCGTAGCGCCTGCCGATGGATCCTGAAGAGTCGTCCACTTTGTAAGACACACCGTTTTTAGTCATTGCCTCGGCTAAGATGGAGAAAGAACAAAAAAAAAAAAGTTAAACAGCAGCAGCAGATGGCGTTTTCTCTCTACACAGACAGAAATAGAACGTGTACATTATCATTATGTGGGCACTTACATAATTTCCTCACGAAGGGCACGAATTCCTGGTTTTGACTCAGAGGCAGGACGGAGCATTTGTATGGAGCCACAGTTGCAGGAAAGCTGAAGTACTGTTGCAAAGGAAAATAAAAATTACAGTCAGAAAAACACTACAATACATCCACAATGCATCAGTAGTGTCCGACAGGGCTGAGCAATACAAACATTTTTGAGGATTTTAATGAGTCAGCTTTGATTAGGTCACTATTAATAAGCTTGTGTCATGTGAGTCATTCAAGATTATGAACCAGTTAACCACTTCACAGTCAGCACTTAGAAGAGGAGGATGAAGTATTTTACAGAGACAGAAATGTCAGATATCGTCACCCAGCCCTGGTGAACAGTCCTACTCTGTCTTAAGTAGATTCAGACTTACTGTTCTTTGTTCGTCACCTTCTCTGACATGGAATGTGTGCTCAAAGATGGTGTACATGATCCTCCCAATGCCAAAGGAGGGCTCGATTACATTGGGAACAACTTCCTCCACTGTGGGCGACAAACATACAGAAAATGTGTGTTATACAAGTTTTATGTTTTTCAGATATAAAAAAGGCAAAACCCAAGACAAAAATCTAATCTCTTGAATGAATCTCACCATGAGTCTTCCTTTTTGAGTTTGAACGACTTGCCTTCTGTCTCGATGGTGAACTCTCTGTGGAGTGAGAATAAGACACTGACTGTGCTGGAAAACAACAAACAACGACCTTTTGTCAGGCACCTATACTGTGAGACTGCAGTTACCAGCACTCACCCAGTCTCACTGAGCAGCTGCTCCTGTTCTGTAATGAAGCATTCGTCACACACAGACAGGTACTCCATGGCTATCTTGGCATCCTTCTTATACGCCTTCCCAATGGCTCCTTTGTTAGGCTCGAACTGGACGACATTGACAACTTTGTGTTGAGAAGTTAAGGAGAATAACCGAGAAATAACGAAGTCCTGGTGTGCTTAAAATGTTCTGAGGGAACAAAAGATTTTCTTTAGGGGCTGCAACAGTTTAAGGATATGGGTTCTTTGAGAGGCTTTTCAGCCACCAGAGGGACCTTTGTAGCACGAGCGTGGCATTTCAGATCAAAGCAAGACCGGTCAGCACAGCCCACAATCTCGATCCAGCCCTGCAAGGCACAAACATTTTACTTTGAGCAAAAGTGTGCGGACTACCTGGCAAGCTACAAGGAAGGACTGGAAAAGAACCCACATAGGAGGTTTTGGTTTCCGCGTCCCAGCAGTCGCAGGCATAGTGAGCCATCTCGTTGTCCATGTGCTGTCGGAAACGCAGCTTGTCTTTGGCGATACCAACTTTAGTAAGGTAGAGGTAGATCCTCCCGATGAAATATCCCAGGACGGAGTTATTGATCACTCCCTAAATTAGACAGATGGAAAAGAATCGACATCAGAATGCAATCTTACATTTCACATTTTCACAGTGAAAAGTTACCAAGTGAAATGAACAGCGAATACCTCTACAAGCTTGATTACATATCCATATTACTTTAGATATTTATCAAATGTTTCCTGTGTAAATACCCTCTGAAAACAGCAGATCCTCTCATTTCATACAAATGTTGTAAAATTTGTCGGTGTCAAAATAAACCAGCGCAAACATCTGACTGAAATTGTATTAATAGTGATTCCTACCTGCTCCACAGCGTCCCTTCCGAGGTTTCAGCTCTGCAACAGCTCTGCCCAGCTCCGACTCTGTGGTGCCTTTTTCCTTCAACTGATGCACAAGGTCACCCTGCAGACAAATATCATGTGTTTACCTCAGAGAACAACAGATTTCATATACTTTATTTGTTCTTTCTGTAAGAATGATTCTAATCTTTAATTCATTCACATACACATGGCCTGTATATTTCTAGAAATAAATACTAACATAGGAGACAGCTCTAGTCTTTTTCTTTTTAATCTATTAATGATCTCTTAAAATGTTTGGAGGTACTCTCTATAGTTTTCACACAATAGGATTCTAATTTATGAGTTCACTTCATGATCCAAATACAGAAAATCCACTTGAAGTATTTAACAAACTCTAATCAGCACATTTAAAATTCTACAATGTTTTTACCTGTAACCTGTCCGCATATCTCACCTGTTCCCTCACTGCCTCCCTTAAAGGCGCCAGTACTTCTTCCATCTTTGACACGTTTAAAAAAGCTCCTTGCAGCACGATCCTCCTGCAGTCTGCCATCGATCAGCTCCACACTCATCTGTTTTCACTTTCCTTCAGGCTCTCTTTAAGCTGAGGCAAGTGAAGGGGAGGAGCAGGTTTCTGTGCAGTCTGACTAGTAGTAGTGGTGTCTGAAACCAGGGCTTTCTGTTGCATCATCCAGGAAACTCAGACAAATGGCCTACTCTGCCATAAAGACATGAGCATATACCACCTGCCTAACATTTATTAACAACCCAGATAACATAGATTCCTTACTATTACATGCGTCAGCCATGACAGTATTAACCTGGTGGGTAGAAACCTTGTTGGGACCCATTTAACCCCTTGTTCCTCCCACTCCTACTTCTGTACACAACAGCACAACACAAATACTTTTAGGAAAATGTCAAATGTGACAGAATAAACTGAAAATACAATATTAAAACTAGATATTTTCTACAATGTTAAGTAGCAATGCAAAAGACAATTTAAAGGGTGGAGTCCATAGGGTTGAGACTCCAACCATGAACTGCATTGTGTGGTAGAAGACCTTTGTTCTGTCCCTTTCTACCTCATTTCCTCAGTCAGCCAGTCTTTCCACTGTTCCAATACTCACAAACTGTTCTGGTTGAAATAAATCCCTAATTCACAGGGGTGAGAAGAGAAAAACAGCAGTTTGATGTTATGTTACACTAATTGAGTTAATGTTTCCAGATTAACCAAACAGGCCTAGTATGTATCCGGGGTGTGAAAGGAAACAAGAAGCAGGTCAGTGTTCAATACCTGCAGAACATACAAATCAATAGGCTACAGACCGCTTTGTACAAAAATGATCCAGGACACTTAAGATCAAACTTAATTTCATTTTAATTTAAATCAAAAGTCCCTACAGAACTAATTTTAGCATTTCAAATACATATTTTAAGATATTTGTTGCCACACATCAATCAAATGTGGTTAATAATCAATTCATACTTACACCTTTTATTAATGTAAAGCCTCATTTATCAATCTACAAAATTAACTTGTTAAATAATCCTCATGTCTCATACAAAGACAGTAAAAAATAAAAATCTAGATGATTTAGAAAGAAAAAGGATGTTGATGTTACCAAATGCAACAATATTATATATCATATAATATTAAAAATAATATAGAGATAAATGACGCAGTATCCCCTTCAGTCCTTTATTTTTATTTTTGAGTTAAAGTATTTTATGCTGGTGGATTTCAGTCTACATGAGCAACATTTGATTCTCTCATCACAGAAGATGTGTCTGAATGTGTCTGTACCACTGACATTATATATAAGGTCTGTACACAGGTTGCTTGCTGAGCTGTGGGTCGATCAGGTTACAGCTGCTGAGAGTTCAATCCTGAAGGAGCAGCCCGGAGTTCACTGACCAAACCTGCAGAGACAATGGAGAGGACATTTATGGATCCGTTTTTGGCATTTTATTAAGGATTCAATTGCAGCATTTTTTTAAATTTCCCTCCAAAAGTTGCAAATGAGTCGTTGTCAGTAAAATAAGATTGTACCTGGAGGTTTGTGAGTAAATAAAGAGAAATAAATAAATGAAATAAACTCACTCAAAGTGTACAGTTTCTCTCCTCCACCAAACTACTACAAGCTTAGCTAATCGTTACCAACCTCATCATAAAACAAATTCATTCAAACTCGAAAATAAAACTCACCAGCACAGTTTTTATCAGTCTGTCCAACAAACACCAGCTCTGGTTGAGTCGAAATAAAACCTTAATTCACTTCATTGCCTCTCTCTGCTGTTATCAGCCTCTAGAGCTGTGCTCCGGGGTTGCAGCACGTCCGACCGCCTCGTTGTCCCGCCGATGGTGGTGTCCCCGGCGGCGTCCTGCCGCTGCCCCGTCCCCGAGTTCACGTCCATCTTTACCGTTAATCCTTCAGGGCTGCTACAACAAGCTCACTGTTGCTAGGAGATAACTTCGCTAACGTCAGCTACTGCTCGATAAAAAACGAAATTTTTTTAAAAATTTAAACTGTTTAAAGAGCCTCAATTAAATATAATTATTTAGTATTGTGTTTAAAAGTAGTTCTTAAGTTTAAAAGTTTATATATGTCCTAATAAAGTACTTTAAGATTATATTTGATAGTTTACCGTCAGTTCCTGGGAGAGAACCGAAGATGAAAATCAGAAGTTATCATTGGACAAACGCCATGTCAATATTGTGTTCTGGTTGTTGATTGGTCAGAGAGGACCTCCCTTGGTGCGTCATTAAACGTCTTGTGGCCAATCACAGATAAGCATTAAAACAGTGTACAGTACATTAAATGGATAGAAGAGATCCCGCCTTACGGAGGTCAGCAGAAACCACTGACAGTCAATCATTATCTTTATCGTCTATTTTATTATAAAGTGGACCACATTTTACTAAATGAACATCATAATGTATGGAAGAAGAGTTGAAACTTAAACTCGTTAGGAAACCGTTGAGCTAATAAATTCAGTGAGCAGTTCATTTCTCCATTAGAGTTCATGGTATAGTGTGTTATTGCAGTCAATGGAGCTCCCCCTGCTGGTCTGTACATATAACGCAGGTTTTAAGACACTCCTCAAACTGGGCTTCACACCGTCTGCCCTGCAGGTGTCGCTCTTGAGGCATTTTTAATTTCTAATAAAGAGAACAATTGTTTTATAGATGATTCTGATGTTTGGTAATAGATTTAATCCAGTTACTCTTTAAATATTACTTACTATAATACTTGCCTCTCAAAAAATAGATGAGGAGCAACCTCCTCTGCCTCTATGGACCAGCCTCCTCTGTCATATAACCTTTGACAAGACTGTAAATTACAGATACGGTGCTGCCTAATGTACCTTGATATGTATTTCTTGTTAGCCTATTTAGCATCCCCTATACACAGAAGTGTGATTGACAGATATGTTATATTGTGTTGAATCAAAAAAACACCTTGTGTTTCTTCTCGTGTTCATACATTAGGGATACACTTAACTCATTCACTTGGATCAGCTTTTTATTGTTGAAATACTGAAAACCATATTGCAGTTTGCCAGTGATTTCCATTTTGGTGTTTTTATTGTTGTTTTACTATTATTTAATTATTTTATCAGAACCAGTATTTTTTTATGTGAAATAACAGTATTTATTTATAAACTTTTACAGGAGGTAAAGTTAGTGAATTTCTTGAAATGAGCAGGTAAACACAATCTGTGGCAGGACTGACTGAAACAGGTCGGTTTAGTCTTACCAAAGTGGTCAATAATGCAGAGAGTAAGGCTGCACAATTAATCACAATATTATTGTAAGTGCAATATGCAAATTGCAGAAGCTTCAATTTTCTTTGCAGAAAATAAAATGTGTAACAAAACCACATTATAATGTACTGTAGTGCTGTAGAGTGTACAAACAAGGGTGATATCACTGATATCAAGAATATGTGTTGGTTAGTATCCTGGTGCCACCTCCTGGTAAACATGCAAACACAGAATAACATGATATCAGGTTTTTATTGAAGTTATTGTGCTCTAAAAAATCATTTCCAGGACTTTTATCAGGGTTTTTCTGGAACTTGTAAATCCTGGCTTTAGTCTTGTTGTATGCGCTTGCTCACTGTTGTCATCTAGAAGGAGGGATGTGACCTCCTTTTCCTCCTCCTTTGCCACCAGGGTTGTTTATGTCCTGAGTGGTCATTCACGTGGGGAAAAGTACTTCATCCTTAAGCAGCCCAGTCTCATCAACCAGGGGTTGTACTGTGCAGATATTAACAGCATTACTTTGAATTTTGAGCTAAAGTTACCTGGAAATAGGTTTTTATTGTATCTGTTTGATATGAATTTGTTTCCTTTGAGAGATTTTTCATTAAAAATAAATTGTGAAAACATGCTTTTGTGAATGAAGTCATTATGATATTGTGATATGACCCAGTCACCTTTAGTGTACATCAAATTAAAACCATTCAGAACAAAATCTTAAAATAGCAGTTTCAATTTTATTTATATAAGACCAAATCATAATCAAATGTTCACATAGAGCCGGTCTAGACCATACTCCTTATAAAAGTATTTACAGAGACCCAACATTTCCCACCATGAGCAAGCACTTGGCGACAGCGGCAAGGAAAAACTTCCCATTAAGAGGCAGAAACCTCAAGCAGAGCCGGGCTCTAGGTGGGCGGCCGTCTGCCTCGACCGGTTGGGTTTAGAGAGAGACGTAGAGACGCACAACAATACCAACAGTATCAATAATAATTAATAATGATAATAAAATGATAATAACAGCAGCAGGTGCAATCTCAATACATGGAAATCTGTGAAACAACAAACCACAAATCATGGGAAATCCCCCAGCAATCTAAGAGTTTAGCAACATAACTAAGAGCTGACCTGAGCCTTTATCAAAAAGAAACTTAAGCCAACAAAGTCTTTACACTTTTGCAAAAATGTGACTTGATACATGAATTGTCTGGGTATTTTTCTGTGTGTAAACAAAGGAGAAAAACTATAAAACACAACTTTTTCCATTAATGTCGCCATAGAAACCCATTTCATAATAACACTGCAAATATGCAGATTGCAATAATTTGAATACAGCTCAGCCTTCCAATCGTGGCTGCAACAAATCACTAAATACAAATAGATCCTCCTCAATGTTACACACTGGACCTTTAACAGACTACAGTTCTCAGGAAAAACACATTTACTGCATTTAAAGACAATTTAAACCAGTAAAATACAATTTCTATATAGACAATTGGCTTGAACTTCAACTTGTGCCTGTTATTTTGTCTCACAAAGCTGTTTTATATAGTAAAAACCAGGAAAGAGAAAGACTGGTCAGAGGAGGACTTAATAATAAAGGACATGTAGAAGTTAATTTGAGCCACAAATACAAGCAGAAAACAACAAATATGGGAGGAAGAAAATCCATTAAAAAAAATCAATATTTCCTGGTCATTAATCAGCTCTATGAAGTGATAAAAAATGGTGATAATAACTGAAACGTTTCATTAAGGGATGAAGGAAAGAAAGAGTCCAATAATCCCTGAATAAGGTCCCCTCACAGACTATCACCCCGCTGATAGGTGGCGCTATTAAGAGGCTGAAACTGAGGCTTAAACAATCAGCAGGTAGATAAAGTACTGCGGGACACTGGTGAGCAGCTGCTGATGTTATTGTGTGCAGTCTGACTTTAGTTAAACTGGGAGATTGTGTTTGTTTACTAACGTCCTCGGACAGAAGATGTGTCCTGTTGGATTATAACTTGTTGTTTTGTTTTGTTTGTAAACAACGACCGGCAGATTGTGGTAAAACACCAATGGTGAGTTTAAATATATGTTTAATAACAGGGTCGATTAGGGAAGTGTGCTGACTTTGTCTCGTTTTGTGTGGCCTCGGCTGTCTCTCTCAGTCTTTTAAGTATTATTTATTTATTTATTATTATTATTATTATTATAACATTTGATGAGCTGCTGGTGTGTTTGGACTCTTAATCTGTTGTGGTCGGGACAGACTAACTCAGGAAAATGTGCGTTGTTTGTGGTTTGGCTCAAATGAATGAATAAATAAATAATAAATAGGTTATAAGTACAGGGTTGAGTCTAGCTGTCGGGTTGAGGTGTGAGTTTACCGCCCACTGGGACCCCGCTTCAATATTGAGCTTCAGCTACCGCTCATATAACGACTAATAAAACAATTAAAAACATTCATGTTAATATTTTTTCGTTTGTTTTTCGATCAAAATCTAAAGTTTTCCATGAGGAATAGCTCTGTTTCCCTGCTCCGCTCCCCTCCGACGACCCAGGAAGCTAACTTTATGCTAGCAAGGCTGCTGCTGCAAAATGACGTAATAATTTATGATTTGACAGTCAGTTATTAATTTCCCATCATCCAGTGCGCGGCTTGTATTTTAATATAAATTGACGTTAAAATATTATATATTATATTATATTATTATATTATGAAATATTCCGTGTTTTAGTGTTTGAAATGTGTTCAGAACAAGCTGCTTTATGTTGGTGGGCTAATTGTCATTTTTGTGCTGGTTCATAATTTGAAACCGTGACTCAAAAAATTGTTGCTGAACACTCATAAGCCCTGCTCTTCAGATGTGAGAACTGTCAGTCAATGATGATTGCTTTTATGGCATTGATCAAATATGATATCAACTTCATTTCTGAGACTGACTGATACACCTGGCTCCTCACATCTTCAGGGCCACAAGGTGTCAGTGGTGTAAGCACTGCTGGTGCAGCTGGCTCAATGCACTGGGGGCCCAGCTGATTATAGGGGCCCACACGGGTAGGCCCTTATACTGTCAATAGCAGTCTATAGCTTTAACCATGAGTGATAATGCTGTTTGTTACGCGTCTTTTCTGGTGAACTAAATGAGCCATGTTGTGCAGTCGTTCATTAATGAGACACTCTGATCTGGCATTTGCAACTTCGGGGCAATCTGAGACTGACACACATGGCTCAAATTTTACATCCTCACACCTTCAAGGTTGAAGATTTGTCTCTTTTCCACTCTCAATAAATCCTCACTGCAGGATTTTTGTAAGATATCTAACAAGTTAAATATCTGATGGTGTCGGGCAGCCATGAAATGAGCTACAGCCAATGAAAGCAGACACAGGCTCTCATCTCTGCAGCACCAAGCAGCAAAGCGGGTAGTATTAGAACAAGCTGCTTTATGTTGGTGGGCTAATTGTCATTTTTGTGCTGGTTCATAATTTGAAACCGTGACTCAAAAAATTGTTGCTGAACACTCATAAGCCCTGCTCTTCTGATGTGAGAACTGTCAGTCAATGATGATTGATTCTTCTTGTTGATTGACGGATATCAACCATATGATATCAACTCCGGGCCATCTGAGACTGACTGATAAACCTGGCTTCTCACATCTTCAGGGCCACAAGGTGTCAGTGGTGTAAGGCACTGCTGGTGCAGCTGGCTCAATGCACCAGGGCCAGCTGATATAAGGGCCCATTTGGGTGGGCCCTTATATATACTGTCAATGGTGGTTCATAGTTTTAACCACGAGTGAGATGGCTGTTTGTTTCATGTCCTTTCTGATGAACTAAATGAGCCATGTTGTGCAGTCGTTCATTGATGACAGACTCTGATCTGGCATTTGCAACTTCGGG